GGACATCATAGGCTCCATCATCCAGCACCTGAAGCGCAATGCTGGTCAAGGAGCGGACTGGTGGAGGGCTCCAGAGCTCAAGGCCATGGGCGCCCAGGGGCTGGAAGACTTCGTGCAGTGCCTGACCAGCTGTGAGCAACGGGCAGCGTGGCCGTGGCAATTCTACTTGGTGCTGGAGCTGCTGCTGGGTAAGAAGCCAGGAATCGGCGGAGAGCGCCCCATCGGCCTCATGCCCATGCCGTACCGCATCTGGAGCGCAGCCAGGAGGCCCATAGTAGCCACCTGGAGCAAGGCAGCGGCGGGCTTCTGGGATACGGCAGTAGCTGGCTCCTCAGCGCTACGAGTGGCAATGCACAGACTGATGAGGGCAGAAGCCGCCACGGAGATGGGCTTTCATGCAGCAGGAGTGTTCTACGACGCGGCAAACTTCTACGACAACATAGGCCTCGACCAGCTGATCGAGAAGGCCAGCGCCCTCCAGTACCCGTTGCTGCCGCTGGCAATGGCCGTGCAGATGTACCTTGCGCCCAGGGCCATCATGGCCCACAGCCTCGTCTCGGACATCTTCGAGCCTGCCAACAGCATGGTAGCTGGCTGTGGCCAAGCGGTCGACCTCACCAGACCGCTCGTGCATGGCATCCTGGATGCAGCGCACAGGCACCACATCTTCGTCGTCATGCAGCAGTACCTGGACGACTTGGCCCTGCAGGTAGAGGGTGCGCGGCGGCAGGTCATTGACCAGATCAAGCACGTGGCAGCGCTGGTGCACGATGGATTCAAGCAGCTCTCGATACCCATCTCCGTCAAGACGGCAGTGGTGGCCTCGGACAAGGACCTCCAGGCAGAAGTCGCCAGCATCCTGGACAGCCTGGGCACCCCCAACAAGCAACCAGGTGTAGTGCGCCACCTCGGCGTGGACACCAGCCTCGGCAAGCAGCTGCGGCGACCCACCCATGCCGCGCGCCAGGCCAAGGCCAAGCAGAGGGTGGCCAAGCTCAAGGACCTAGCGAAGACGGACGCCAGAGGCGCGGCAAAGGTTTATTCAGCAGGTGCCTACTGCCAGCAGGCCTGGGACTTACCAGCGCACGGCATCACGCCCACGGAGGCGAAGTCGGTCAGGGCTACGGAGGCAGCGCTCCTCACAGGCGGACACAAGGCTTGACGCTGCACGTCCACCATCCTCCTGATCCAGAGGGGAATGCAAGAGGCAGTAGCCCGAGCCATCGGCGACCAGATCAAGCAGTTCTGGCTCACCATAGTCGACCACCCGGCGGAGCTCAAGAGGTACCAGAGAGGCTGGCTCCTGCTCTACGCCAAGCTGGACGCCCTGGAACCCAACCGCAGGTGGCAGCAGGTCAAGGGGCCTATGGCAGGGGTCATCGCGCAGCTGCTTGGGTTAGGCTGGATACCGCGACGCCTGGACAGCTGGATCAGCCCAGCAGGTGACGAGTGGGCCTAAAAGCCAGATGACATTCCTCACTTCGGCGCGCTCCTGCATGAAGTCCAGCAGAGCGCGCAGCAGCAGCTCTGGCAGCAGGCAGCTGGCCATCGCAGTGGAGAAGGACTTCAGGCTGGAGGCGACCTCTATCAGCTGCAGCGCCACCTGAGGAGGAGGAGGCGCAAAGGACAGCATGCAGAGGCAGCCATGCTGGAGAGCATAGCGGTGGCGGGCATCTGGACCAGGGAGCGTCGCAGGGCGGCCAACCTCAACCAAGAAGGCGACGACACCTGCGCGAGATGCGGCGAGGCGATAGAGACAGAGGAACATCGCTACTACGCATGCCCTGCCAACGCAGAGATAGGGCACAGCAATGGCACCGACCTGGCGAAGAAGGCGAAGGACGCGCTGGACCAGCGGCAAGACCTGCACTTCTGGCTCCGAGGCATCCCGCCAGCGGCCTGGGCAGCCAAGGTCGACCCAGACGAGGACGCGGCGAAGGCGGCGCAGATCTTCTGCACCAGCGAAGAGGCTCAGGCGGCAGCCCAGTCAGGGTACAAGGTTCGAGCAGACTATGTCTTCACGGACGGCTCAGGTGGTGCAGGGGAAACGGCCAAGGACCCCCGCCTCAGACGCTGCGGCTGGGCAGTGGTGGCCTTCAGGTTCGACGAACAAGGACGTCCGCAGGAAGTGGCCGCCTGGTACGGCACGATCAGGGCACCGCACACGGTGCCACGGGCAGAGCTCACCGCCATGAGCAAAGCCATCGGGTACACCACGGCGGCGACAGCCAGGGGGCTCAACATAGTCAGCGATTGCAAGTACGCCCTGGACGCACTCAAGCAGATCCAGGATCCTGAGGATCTGGACTACAGGAGCACGAACTACGACCTGGCTCCAGACGAAGCAGCAGCTGCAGAACAGCACGGACACCATCATGGGCCACCACATCCCAAGCCACCTGATTGAGCACCCAGCCGAGCTGGAGAGGTGGAATGGTCCCACCTGGTGGGTCATAGGAAACGAGATGGCAGACAAGTACGCAGGCTGGGGAGCGGAGCATGGAGCACTGGATCCAGCCATCATCGCGCAGCAGCAGATCAGGGACCAGATCACCACGGCGGTGCAAAACCGGCTGCTGGCCATCAACATGGCGGTGGCGGTGGAGGACCCCAACAAGGCCCCTCAGCGTCCCAAGGCCAAGCGCCGAAAGCCGCAGACGGCGAGGGACAGGGCAGCCCAGCTGGGAAACGACTTGCGCAAGCTACATCCGCGATGGTGGTGTGCAACGTGTCGCAGTGGCCCAGCCAAAGGACAAAGCATCAGAGAATGGCTGGCAGAGACGGGAGAATGCCTCGGGAAGTGCGGCGGCCACCAGGACCAGCACGGCAACGTCAGGCTCGACTTCAAGGCGGTGCAGATCGGCACGCAGGTGGTGCACGTCTCCCACAAGACGCAGTTCACCCATGGCTGGCTCTGGTGCGAGAAATGTGGCGGCACCAGCTACCTTGGGGACCACAAGAGCAGGATCGCGGCAGGAGTGGCAAGGAAGCCGGCAAGGCCATGTCAGCCCCCACCAGCAGCAGGGCGGCGGGTCTTGGCGGAGATGCAGAGGGGCAAGCTGCCAAGAGGAGCTAAGCCAGCAGCAGACCCAGCTGATGAGGGTCTCAACGAGATCACCATGTCTGGTGATTTCAAGCCCGGCCTGAGTAACCACGAGGCGATCGACCTGGACGGGGACAGCTCAGAGGCAGGGGACCCGCAGCCAGCTCCACAGCCAGCCACCCAGCCATCCGCACTCTGTCGTCCACGCCAGCTGGAGGCTCGTGGACCACATGGAGGGCTACGCGGAGCAGTGGATGAACATGGTCGACCAAGAGGTCTGGGACGACATGGACGACTGGATGGAGCACTGCGTACCGTACCTCCTGGCCATCACCAATGTGGGTGGCGGAACGGACACGCAAGAGCAGACCAGGGCCGTCACCGTGCAGGAGCTTCAGCAGATCAAGGACTTCCGCGAAGAAGTCTGGCGCAACACGCACCGCACGCGACGGAGGCTCATGACCAGGATGCTTACCCTCCCGTACGGTACAAGGCAGCAGGCAGCAAGAGTGCACATGGACGCCTTCCAGAACAGAAGGAACAACATCCTAGCGCACAGCATCCCCAGCAGCGAGCGCAGGCCGCTGCCGAGAACAGCGGAGGCCAGCCGAGAGTGGTCACCAGAGAACCTGGACGATGATGACCCGACCCCAGACAGTGAAGCCCCAGAGCTGGAGGGTGAGCCGAGCAACCAGGAGATGGAGACCATGGCTGGACCCGATCAGAGGCACGACGCCAACAGCCTGATGCAGACGGCTGTGCAGGTGGCAGTAACGCTGACCAAGCCAGCGGGGCCCGACCTGATGAAGTTCGTGAGCGAAGCCGATGAGGCCGGCCTGCTCCACCCAAGGCTTCGACACAACAAAGGAGAAGCTGACCAGGACCCCGAGCAGGAGGTGGCGTGGCTCGAGAGGAACAGGCTCGAGCAGCTCATGCAGTCGCTGGCAGGCTGCTGGAGCCAGAAAGAGGGCGAACAGGGCTGGCCATCGTGGCAGGCTGCGTGCGTGCCCCATGTGCTGAGGGCGCTGCAGACTGGCGTCTACCAGAGGCTGTTCAGCAACGTGTCAGGGCCGAGCCGCCAGCGCAGCCAGCGCCGAGCGGCGGAGGAGATCTGCCGCCTGGCATGGCTCAACAGCGGAGAGGCGCGCAGGCAGATCCAGCAGCAGGACCCGAAGGAGGCAGAGCGGCGCAGAGCAATGGCTGAGCAGTTCCTGGGCGTGACTGAGCCAGTGGTGAGGAGCCGCAGCCCGCGACCGCAAGCAGCAGCGCGAGTGCCAAGCAGGGCTCCAGCCAGACAGCCGAGGAGGAACCCAGAGGCCAGGGCCGCCAGCAGCCCCGCCGAGCTGCGCACGGCAACGCCAGCGCCCGAGCTCGAGAGGCCCAGGGGGCCCAGGGCACCGCAGCCAGAGCGGCCCCTGGAGGCGGGAAGGGCGGAGGAGCAGCAGAAACCCTCCAGCAGGCCCCTGCGCGGAGAGGGGACAGGCCACCATGGGCCCCTGCGCGGCAAGGGGGTGGGCCGCAGGGGACCCCAGCGTGGCGAGGGGTTAGGCCACAGCCCTGCGCCAGACGGGATGCAGAGGGGTGCCCGTCCCCCACCCGCAGGACGGAGCACCATGGACATGGCAGACCTCGACCACTTCCTTGAAGAGGAGAACAGCGAGGATTGCCTCCAGCAGCCCGTAGACAAGCAGGACAGCGATGACAACCACCAGCAGATCCCAGATGTACAGCACAGCATAGGGTACCACCTGGCAGACCGCAGAGGACCCCAGCGTGGCGAGGGGTTAGGCCACGGAGGACCACAGCGCGGTGAGGGGTTAGACCGCAGTGCCAAAGGCAAGCAGAGGCTCGAGGCGGAGGTCCCTGACGAGCCCAGTGAGCATGACGCGGGCGTTTTGACCAACAGTGTGGTAGACAGGACCTCGCAACTAACAGAGCGGACCCATACCCTGGGAAACCGACAGACTGAACGCGAGGGGGAGGGCCTGGCCCGCGGAAACCACGTGAACCGCGAACACAGCGAGTGGCATAGTCGGGGGACCTCGCCCGAGCCAGCGGGCAGTAGCACCGAGGATGGGGACAGTGCGAGACTCGGCGTTCCCCCGCGTGGCGAGGGGTTAGGCCACAAAACTGCGCAGCCCGAGACGACGGCAGACTACGACGACACAGACCTGCAGCGGGACTTGGAGAAGTTGTTCGGCGACTTTCCCCAGCGCGGTGAGGGGTTAGACCGCGTGGAACCCCTGCGCGGCGAGGGGTTAGGCCACGGCAATCCCCTGCGCGGTGAGGGGGTAGACCGCAGTGCCAAAGGCAAGCAGAGGCTCGAGGCGAAGGTCCCTGACGAGCCCAGTGAGCATGACGCGGACGTTTTGACCAACAGTGTGGTAGACAGGACCTCGCAACTAACAGAGCGGACCCATACCCTGGGAAACCGACAGACTGAACGCGAGGGGGAGGGCTTGGCCCGCGGAAACCACGTGAACCGCGAACACAGCGAGTGGCATAGTCGGGGGACCTCGCCCGAGCCAGTGGGCAGTAGCACCGAGGACGAGCCAGCGGGCAGTAGCACCGAGGACGGGGACAGTGCGAGACTCGGCGTACCCCCGCGCGGTGAGGGGTTAGACCGCAGCAGGCCCCAGCGCGGCGAGGGGTTAGGCCACGGAGTACCCCAGCGCGGTGAGGGGGTAGACCGCAACGATCCCCAGCGTGGCGAGGGGTTAGGCCACGGTGGACCCCATAGTGGTGAGGGGTTAGACCGCAGAAGGCCCCTGCGCGGCGAGGGGTTAGGCCACATGGGACCCCGGCGCGGTGAGGGGTTAGACCGCAATAGGCCCCTGCGTGGCGAGGGGTTAGGCCACGGAGCACCCCAGCGCGGTGAGGGGCTAGACCGCAGCAGCCCCCAGCGTGGCGAGGGGTTAGGCCACGATTTTCTCCAGCGCGGTGAGGGGTCAGACCGCACCGACCCCCAGTGTGGCGAGGGGTCAGGCCACGACGGACCCCAGCGCGGTGAGGTGTTAGACCGCAACAGACCCCTGCGTGGCGATGGGGTTAGGCCACCACGGAGCACCCCAGCGCGGTGAGGGGCCAGACAGCAGCAGGCCCCAGCGAGGCGAGGGGTTAGGCCACGGAGGACCCCTGCGCGGCGAGGGGCTAGGCCGCAATGCACCCCAGCGTGGCGAGGGGTTAGGCCACAGCCCTGCGCCAGGCAAGGCGGCCGTGAAGGCCCACGAGTCCAGGGGCCAGCGGCCAGGGCGGTCCCTGGAAGAGCGCAGAGCGGAGGAGCGGCTGCGGCCGCCCATCAGGCTGCTCCTCAAGCTCTGAGAGGGCGGCGGCAGCATATCTTCAGACTGCCGCCGCTCACGGGGCGACTCCATGAGTCATTGAGTGGCGGCAGTACGACGCCGTGAGATGAGGCCGCTGGCCCACCCCGCCTTGTGCCGTTCTGCCTGCGCGGGATGCCGAGACCAGGGGCGCCCACTCACGGGCGGGAGCACGCGGGTTTAAAAAGCCACATGCAGCCTGAGCCCAAGAGGAACAGTGTGGAAATCCCCGTTTATATTCAGGGGTTCGAAACACGGGGTCTTCATCCAGGTCTCGAGGCGATCTTTGGAGGCCGACCCCAAACAACGCTTGCACTTGCGACCACTGTCGTCCAACAGGTGCGACGTGGCGAACAAGGTGATAGTGCTAGGTGCAGGCGGCACAGGCACAGGGGGAGGGGGGGGAGGGAGGAGGGGGGCCCTCACTTTCCTGACTCCTTCGCCTCGCGATCTCCTTCTCCGCCTGGACGCTCTGAAAGCCTGCAAGCAGCAGGCGATGCCTGACGAGAAACGCTCTCCTCTCGACCTCGTGGATATGGTGCCTCACGCTGGACGGGGCCCTCAGCCCCTCGGCCTTCGCTCCAACAATCTCGTCAATGATAGTGCGTCCGATAACCTTCCATCTTCGTTCACGATTGCGTACGATCGCCTCGCCGTCGAGATGAGAGTGAACGAACTCGACCTGGATGTCATTCTCCTTCCGAGAAACCAGCAAAATCTGAATACACGCCCATATATCTGTATCAGCCCCGCTGGGGGGGACCTATACTTCCTGGGCATCCACCCAAGAAACACTGGCTCACAGTCTGTCACGTATCGGAGGGGGCCGCTGCAGCACCACAGTGCAAGCCAGAAAGCTTTGAGTTCACCTCGGGATACTGACTGTCGTAACCCCGCCAATCCACCTGTCACAAACGAGGCAACACGCGGGGGATCGAAGGATTCCAGGATACACACACCCAGTGCAACCCGTCTCAACCGAGGATCCTCAGTATCTGCACCTCCGCTGGAATCACCGAAGATAATCACATCATATTCATCTGGATTGGGGGTAATACAGCCTGGTCCCACAGCACGATCCAAACCGAAAGATTCCCAATCATCAGATAGTATTGGCAACGGTGTGGCTGTCCACATGCTTGGTATCACGCCACGTAGCCAGAAGCACGCATGGGGTTCGCACTGGGACGTGGCCGAGGGAACAAGATCATTGCTCGCCTCGAATATCTGGGACCCAGTATTGCACGAGCATAACCACGCGCGATGAAGTGAATCCTCCACCGTTTCGTGGCAACGAGGACACAGCAATGTAGGATCAACGTGGGTACCTTCTGGCCTCGCACCACCATTCTTCATGAGACCTTGCCTCGCTCTTGTCCACATGCCTCCGATGGAAATGGTAAGGAGGAGCCCTGCAAGTCGAGGGCCACCCGGATGTACTGAACCCAACTGATCCAGCAAGCGTCTGAGAGAGAACACATCAGCTCCGTCCTGCAGGCCCTCACCGTCGAAATGACCAGAGGCGGTGCGCCAATGAGGCGCCATAGATGCAGTATCAACATCCAACAGAAACTCCTCGAATGCATCCAGAAACCGATTGCCTGTGAACCCTTCATCGGGGAAAGACCAGTTGTGATCCGATAGTGGTAAATGCCAATCAGTACGTCCTCGCGGAACCCATCCAAACGATTGCATCTATATATATATGTATATATAAGAATAGCTGATAACGGCCCACGTGCATGCCTTGACCTCCGTGCAGGGTCCATGGCACTGAGCTTGTCATAGACCCGGCCCCACGCCTGCTTCACTGCAGGCCTGATCTGAGGACAATCACGCCACCGCTGAAGCCAAAGAGTGAACGTACCTCGAGAAAAACGCTGTGCTGGGTCCTGACCTGGAGCACGGATGGCTAGGAGAGAAGTGAGGCATCGACCATGCGTTCTCGAATAACAAGCCGCACCTAACTTCCTCCGATGGACTGTGAGGTATTGTCCGAAACCACCGTGTAATTGATACCCGTAGCTGCCCACCGCCTGTCCGCCTGGGGTCTCAAGGCGCGATGCAACCCGATATTTATGCAACGTATGTGTAGAACGTCGAACTCGCCGATGTCGCTGTACATGCATGGCAATCCTCTTGCGCCTCTGTGACCTTGCCTGGCGGCGGCCATCGCTGAGATCTATTCCCAAGTAGCTGCGCTGGAGAACTGCCTGGACCGTAATACCTTTCCGCCGAAGTGCCTTCGAGATGGCGGCCGCGTCGGGGTGACGACTGCAAGTGATAACCGACTTGCTAGCAATCCGCAAACCCTGGGCCTTCAGGGCGACTGCGGTGTCGGACAGGCACTTGACCATGTCCTTCCTGGTCTGGCGGTGAGAACCCTTGATTGATTGGGAAAGGCCGTCGACCCAGAGACGATGACTAAATCTGGGATGTGCTGTGCAAATCTTCCTCATCACGAAGAACGTCATGATAAGCGCATATCTGGTCCCTCCTCTGAGACCTTGTACGATGGACCTGGCAACCTCGATAGGTTCTGAAAAGGCTGACATCTGATTCAGCATGCGTGGACAAGCACATTGGAGCATCTCAAGGTAGAAGGCCGTTGGAGGGAATCCCAAACGGACTGCAGCACGCGCAAGTTTGAGCCAGAACATCGTGTCATCATATTTCTCTAGGTCGACCAAGCTGCGTGCATACGGGGTCCCGAGCGCGGCTGCTGTCTCCTCGTCCAGACGTCGACGGAAAGCCTCCTGCAGCGGGGAGTTCCCCCGCGCAGCAGCGTCCCAGGAGGTTTCGGTGTCGGAGGTCCACTGTTGGACCCAAGGCTCACGGGCTTTGCTCCAAACTCGTCCGATCATCGCGATGTGACCTATGATGCGGTCCCCCGAGGCTTTCTTCGGAAGCAATTTCTCCATGACAAGGAGAGCCCGAGCGGGCCACATGAGGATGCTCTCCACGCCATTGAGGAGGTCGGCGAGCCCCTGGAGCCCCACGTCTGGAAGCCGTTCCAGGTCCCAGGAGATATACGATCCACCCCCCAGACCAGTTTTACTCTTCATTCCCCGAAGAGCAACCCGTAGATCGTGAACACTAAGAGGAGGAAGGGCTTCAGGATTGTCTCTTACAGCATCGTGAACAACTCCAAGAACTCCCCTGAGGGACGCCTCAGGATCCAAAACCCCAGGGGTCCATAAGGCCCTCCAGCCCCGAGACTTCCAGTCCAGGATGTCCTTGGGGCGGTGCAGAAGCGCATCCTGCTCATCCATGATTTCGAGCGGAGGTAGGGGATCCTGACGCGCAGAACGGTGTAACGTACCAAGAGCTGGAGTGGTGCTCGCCCACTCGCGGAACTCCTTGAGCGATGGGGCCGTCGCCCTGCGCTGATTTCGCAAGGCCAGACGGTGCGAGAGAATATTCAGAGATGCAATCCTCGCCACTGGAAGCGCATCGACACTGCGGAGAGCTGCTAACCATTCAGACCAACTGAGCTCGAGGCCTTCACGAATGATGGCGCGGGTCTGCTCAGGGTGGTCGTCAATGAGGTCACGACAAGCACGCTCCAACAGCTGTCTCTGTAGCTGCCCGTTGCGACGGAAACAATGTGCGTGTGTAGGCGCCCCAGGACAATGTGCAACCGTGTCCACCAGTTTGCTGCGATGTCTCTCAGGCCCCCCCCCCCGATATTTTTGGAATTCCCATGAACTTCGTGAACCTCGAACTTTGGGGCCAACATGCGAGAAACCTTCGGGGTGGGATCTTCATTGTGACGCTCCAAGATGGTGGCCACCGTGGTCCCGACCCAAGACGCGTACAGCCCGCTGAGGAGCTGGCACCCTATGGGGTCGATCTGGCATACCGCGGACTTCACGATGTAGGGAGGGAGAGAAGAAGGGGAAAACGGGCAAAACCTACTCGGGCCCGATGGGCCTCCCACAGAGAACAAGGTATACTATAGGAGGGCATGGCTGACTGTGTGCTGTGGCTGGGTGACTGGGAGGACTGGAGGGCCGCATCAGTCTCGGTGCACTGAGGAGTCCCCCACGACGCCTCCCCGAGGTTGGCGCCCACACCCACAGACGACCCAGAGGCCGCAGCAGACCCCAGAGGCACCCCCAGGACCACCCCCAAACCGGCACCCACCGCCAGCGAGGGCCCCGAAGGGTCCTCGGGACGCGCCGAAGGAGAGGTCGCCTCGGTACCAAGATTGGGCCCTGTGAAACTTGAATTGCTAGCGTCTCCTCGAGACTCAGACGGGGTGAAATTAAACTCATCAGCCCACGGATCCTCTTCAGAACAGAAAGACGCAACATCAATCTCGTCGCCAACGTCAGTGGATTCACCAGCATGTAAAATCTGAGGGCCCGAGGATGTGGCGTCACTAAGAGAGGCTCCGAACGACTGACTGTATTTGACATTCCTTTTTCCTGCGGCCTCCTGGCGTGCGAGGTTGCGCTGCGCTCGAGCTAGGCTGGACTTGACTTGGGCCCTGGCGTGGGCTTCTTGCCTGGCCTCGCCAGCTGGGGCAGCTTGGGCGCCAGCCCAAGAATCCTGGTCAGAAGCTGGCGGCCCGACTGGCGGAGGTCCAGCGCGATCCCCAAGTGCGTCTTCCAGCCAGTGGCCATCACAGGCCTCACCTGCAGCACGTAGGGTATCGCAGCCGAATTGCAGAGCACATAATCCAATACGTTGGCGTGCACGCCTGCATCACACGTGCACTGAACAGCAGGTGCCAGGAGGTGCCCACCGATACGGCCAAGAAATTCTGACTGTTGCATGGCTCCCGCAGGGATGTTGAAGTCCCCGATAACCACTCAGGGTAGCTGGAGACTGTGCAAAAATGCTCCCAGGCGCTGGTGCCGAAGTAAATTCGGGCCAGTAAATCCAATGGAACTCAGCCCGTAGAAGCACACCAGTATGAGCGTGTAGCCTGAGAGCCGTAGGACGACAGGCATCATGCCTTCAAGGTCCCAACCTTCACCAGCACGAAGAGACCGTCAAAACTATGCACCTGCATGTGGCCCTTGCTGAGGACCCACTCGCCACCTTCGTTGGCGCGTTCCATCTGACCAGGAGCGATCACATGATCATGCCGTCGCGGACGAGCGGGATTGGCGAAAAGCCTCAGCCCCGCAGCGCGAGCAGCCTGGTCCCATCTCCGCGTAGAGGGTCGGTCAACATGAGTTTCCACCAAGGCAAACATGTCGTACCGTGACTTCTGAGATTGCAAGTGCTGCCAGATCTTCTGACTCATGCATGTAATATTGCCAAAAAGAAGGGACGTGCAAGTATCCTTTGACGAATCAGTGATGACTCCCGAAGCATCGGACGATTCCATACTCTGCACTGTAGATGACGTAGAGGTGGTTGTTGGACCTGAAGCTGATGGCGGCAACATGGGTGTACTCGGCGATCCAGACTGAACCGGGCACCTCGCCGCAGCCGATCATTCGGCGTTGTCTGAAGCAAAACCCTTACCCCTAGACTTCGCGGAGTCGGGAGCAAGGCCTTTGCTATTCACCTGAGCCTACTTCAGGGCCTCGGCGACGGCGTACTTGGCGGCCGGGAGCTTCGTCGCCTCAGCCTGGACGGCAGCGTCGTGAGCTGCTGCATCGGGGGGGCTGCTTGCTGCCGCCGCTGCTGCTGTGGCTGGTTCTGCCCCAGCTGCCCCAGCTGTGGGGGGTTGGTCAGCGGCAGGGGTGGGCGTTGGCTCGTCCTGGCCGTTCACCATGCGCTTCTTCAGCTTGCGATCCTCGATCGCCTTGCGGAGCTCCGCGTCTCGGTCAAGCCAGCCACGAGTCTCCTCCTCACGGTCGCACAAATTGGCCTTGGCCTCCTTGAGCTGTGCCTCCAGCGAGGCCATGTGCTGCTTCTCGGCCTCGTCGAGCTCCTCAGCGGCTGCGACGTCGGCGAAGAGGCTCTCGTCCCAGGAGAGGTGGAACAGCTTGGAGGAGGTGCCGTCCTGTACAACACCCTCGGCCTGCGCCAGTCGGCGGGCGGCTGCCTGCTTCACCGCCGCGGCGTTGGCAAGGTGCAACGCTGCCGCCTGCTCCTTGATCTCCGCTGCGGAGAGTAGTCCTCTCAGGCGCGTCACAGGCGCCACCGCCTGGGAGTGCTTGGTGTCGGCGTCGCGCCAGGCCGCGTCGGCCTTGCGGACCGCCTCGGCGGCTGTGTCCTGATCAGCCGCCTCGCGAACTCGAAGACTCTCCAACTTCGCATACTCGAGCTGCAAGGCATGCTTGATGACTGGGCCGTGGGTGACCTTGATAGCGCTGGCTAGGTGTTCCAGGGCTCCGAGACCAACTTCACTGACGGCAGAGTTCGACTTCAGGATGGTCTTCGGGACAACGCCTGGGTCGCCCTGAGGTGCCTTCTGATCCTCGAAACTAACACGCTTGGTTCCTGGAGACTTGGAGCGGCTGACATGGAGTCGTACAGTCCGATGACACTTGGAGCAGGATCTGCCACTCCGCTCGAGGACGTCATTCCATTCATGCTGTCCGCAGCCGCGACAACGGCTCCATAGGCGTGCTGCCATGCGTGTGTGGAGAGAAAGGAAAGTAGGTATATGCCCTTCTTCGTCAACCAAGGGATACAGTCGTGTGCACTCACTGTACCGCTCGGTGTCCCTCAAGTGCCACGGGGAGGCGAGGGCTGGCCGAGGGCAACATGCTCTCGGGCCGAGAACTTGAGGGACGAGGAGGAGGAGGAGGAGGAGGAAGGCGGAGGAGGAGGAGGAGGATGAGGAGGAGGAGGAGGAGGAGAAGGAGGAGGAGGAGGCGGAGGAGGAGGAGGAGGAGGGCGGAGGAGGGAGGAGGAGGAGGAGGAGGAGGAGGAGGAGGAGGGAGGAGGGAGGAGGAGGAGGAGGAGGAGGAGGAGGAGGAGGAGGAGGAGGAGGAGGAGGAGGAGGAGGAGGAGGAGGCCCCTGCATCCCGAGGCCGACCTTCTTAGGGGGCCACATGCGAGCCCTATACCCCACACGATGTCTGCGGGGGTGGGCGGGCTCCCACGAGGGCGCGAAGTTATTCGCGCTTCGCGGTCCTCGTTCCTTCTCCCCCTCCTCCTCGTCCTCCTTTTCTCCCTTTGGGGGGGCGGCGCGAGAGCGCAAACTTATTCGCGCTTCGCGGAGCGCGAGAGCGCGAAGTTGGGAGCCCTAGGGTACAGTGTTGGCGTGTGGCCCCCTACCGTTGGCGAAGCACCTCCCGCCGCGAGTTCTGCCACGACGCGAGGGGGTCTTGCCAGACGGGCGACGTCCTGATGTTTTCAGGACGGCGTCCCCAGAGGTCCCGACCCTTTCCCCATGGACGGTTTTTCATGCTGAGTCGTTTTTTGACAGTCCTGGGGCCCGGCGAGGGCCCCCAGGGGCCGAACATAGTAGCGAAGAACCGTCCGAGGCGGTAATTTATCCATATCCACCGCCTGGAGGGTCAGTTTTCGGAGCCTGGGCAGGCGGTGGATATGGACGTATTCGGGCCCCCGAGGGCCGAAATGTATCCATGTCCACCGCCCGCTGGGGCACCAGGACGTCGGTTCCCAGGCTGTGAATATGGACAAATCCTCGCCTCGCAAACCGGCCGTCCTGATTTTGTTTACGACGCGAGCATGTCTGGGTTGGGATCGCTAGACGTAAGAGTGACCCTTCGCCGGAGTGACTTTTGTTGCGGGCACAGATGGGTCCTCAGATGGCTGACAACGAAGCAGCGGCAGCTGCTTGCGCGCCCAGGTTTGGTCCCCCCGCGGCCCCCCAAAAGCCGCGCACCAAAGGGTCACTCTTGCCAGACCCCCGACGTCACGATTTTTTCATGACGCGACCCCCAGAAATCCGGACCTATTCGCCGGGACCGGTTCTTCATCCTGAGTTGTTTTTTGACGGCCCCGAGGGCCGGTAAGGGCCCCCGGAGGCAGAAACTATAGGAAAACCCTCCGTCGTGATTTTTTCATGACTTGAGGGGGTCTGGGAATTGTGCGTAGCCGAGGAGCCCCGAGGAGACATTCGGCCCGCCCGCCGACCGCCCAGTGGGGGCCCTGCACGCTGGCCGCCGCGGCGCACGCGTGGCGCGGGCGGCCGCTCGCGGGGGTCTGGGCTCGGGTGGGCTTCGGTCGGGCATGTCCCCCTACAGGCAGATTTTGGAGGACCAATTTAAAATATCTTCCCCCTTATACATACACATATATATATATATACGTATATATTTATGTATGTCTATATATACATATATACATATATATATATATATATACACATGTATTTACACATGTATACATATATATATGTCTAGATAACTATCTATATATCTATATATCTATATATCTATCTATACATATATATATATATCGATATATCTATCTATCTATCTATCTATCTATATATATATATCTATATATATACATATATATATATATATAGAACTATCGTTCTATATATATATATATATACCGATATATATATATATATATATATATATATATATATATGTATCTATATATATAGTCATATATATATATCTACATATATGTATATATATACATATCTATATACCTATCGATCTATCTATCTATCTATCTATCTATGTATCTATCTATCTATCTATCTATCTATCTATCTATCTATCTATCTATCTATATAAACATGTGTGTATATATAAATAGAGAGAAACCGATATAGATCAAGCAAGGCCCAAACTACCCCCGAACATCGTCCCCGGACTATCGCTGTTGACTGTGTTTGAGTCTTCCCCCCGGCTCGAGGGCCAGGCCCAACGTATCGGGTGTTGCTGGAAGTACCCCCTGGCCCAGGGTACCCCCAGGATTCTCGGGGTGGCCCAGACGGCCTCCAGGGGCACCCCTCACGAGGCCCAGAGGGCCCCGGGGCTCCAGAATGGAGCGGAGAGCTGGAGGTGCCCTGGGCCAGGGGCACTTCCAGCAACACCCGAACGTAAGGGTGGGCCCATGGCAGGCCCGCCCCTGGGCCCAGACCTCTGCGACGCCTCGCTTGCGACGGCCTTGCGGCGGGTGCCGCCGGCCCTGGAGGGAGACGACGACGACGACGACGACAACCCCAGACAGGATCGCGTCGTGAAAAAAGTCAGGACGGCAAGTTTTTTGCCACTTTCGGCCCCTGCAGATGGAGGCCCTCGCCAAGCCCCGGGAGCGTCAACAAAACGATTCAGGACGAAAAACCGGCCCGGGGGAAAGGGTCGGGACTTCTGGGGACGCCGTATTGAAAAAATCAGTCTGTCGTATGTTTGGGACGGCGGCGACGGCGACGACGACGACGCTGACGTGGGCAAGAGTCCTCAAGGATGCTTCTTGGGGTCTCTTCGGGCGGCTCTCGGGGGCCTCTGGGGACGAATCTTGGGGGCCTCTTGGGAGCCCCTTGGCCCGCAGACCTGCCCTTGGCTTATGATGTTCCAACCTACTTTAGCCTTGATCACCATAATGAATTTCGAGCACCAAGAAGGCACCCCAAACGTCAAGGGTTTTCACGTGTCGGGCCCTGGGAGACACTCTTTCGACACTCTTTCTGGGTGCTCGAAATTATTTCTGGGATGTGGCCCTTAAGTACGATGGGAGCAACATAACCCTTGGCCCAGACATGCGACGCCTTGTCTTTTTTTTCAACACGACCAGGTGTTGCAAGCTCTGCGGACCGCGTTGAGTTGAAGCGTGCAAAAAACATCAACATAGCCAGACAGGATCGCGTCGTAAAAACAGTCAGGGCGGGAGGTATTCTTACCTTTCGGCCCTACGGGCCCGCGCCGGGCCCCGGGGCCGTCAGAAAGCGACTCGGGGCGAAACGCCGGCCCTGGGTCGGGGGAGCGTAAGACCCGGGTTTGCCAGGACTCGGTTCGCCATCGTTTTTTGACGACCGCGCCTCGGATTTTGACGAGGAGGAGTTTCGTGGGATGTCTGCAGCGGGAGGCCTCGTCAAAATGCAGGCTCGGCCTCGTCATTTTTTTGACGACCTCGTCGGGGATTTCCGAGTCCCCTGTACCCAGGTCTTACGTCCGCCTGACTGGGGAGAGGCCCGGGACTTCCGGGGATGCCGTCCTGAAAAACTCAGGACGTCGCACGTCTGAGTGCGGGTCGCGCGGGCCAGCGTGACCTCAGCGCGGCTGTCGACGCTCCGTCCAGCAGCAGATCGAGGGGGCGCCGGGCAGCGGCCCCAGCCCCTGCCCGAGGTGCCCCATCGGATGTCCAAGGCGGCCCCCTCGCGTCGTGAAAAAGTCACGGCGGGTGGTGTTTCATAATTTTCGGCCTCCGGGGGCCCTTCCCGGGCTTCGGGACCCTCAAAAACAATTCAGGATGAAAAACCTGTCCGGGGGAAGGAGTCCAGACCTTGAGGGCCGACGTTGTGAAAAAATCACAATGTCTGGGATCTGGGGAGACCCATGGCGTTTAGTATGGAGCCCCACGAAAGCCCGTGGAGAGCCCCATGGAGCCCTTATGAAGCCCCATGGGGCCCATGAGGCCCATGGAGCCGCTGCCCATGAGGTCCCAATGGGGCCCCGTGGAAGCCCGTGGAGAGCGTCTTTTTACTCCCGGACGACAGCGGGCGTTACCTGGGAGTGAATGGGGGGATGGGTGGGGCAGGTAACGTCACGTTTCGCGCTGGCGCCGTCCTGGAGTGGCCAGGAACAGCAACAACAGGAGACAACTCGGACGTAAGCACGGATCGTGACGGCACCTGGGGGAAAGGGGGGGGCGGCGGCCAGGGCCAACAACGGCCGTTCTCGCGAGAAGCGGCAAACGCTCTCTACGAGGAGGCCTCACGTCCTTTCGACGTCTTTCGCCCGTGTTGGGCTCCCTGCCCCAGGCGTGCAGCGCCCTGGAGCAAAAACAGGACGCCGTTGTGTTGCATCGCTTTCGGCCTCGAGGGGGCCGTACCTGGCCTCGGGAGGCCGGGACCGTCGACAGAACGATTCGTGACGAACATTGGTCCCAGGGAGAGTGTCGGTTTCTCCAGGGACTAGGAACTATGTGCCAGCGTGGACCCCAAGCAATGTGTTTCTAGCAGTATGTATTGTGCAGTCGATGTGGAGCTACGTGGAGCACTCTCTGTTGTACCATCGGCATGTATATACATATATATATATATATATATATATATATGTTGTGCAATATACGCTGTGTGCAATCTGCGTTGTGCACCCTACGTGGTGCAGTTGACTACCCTGCATCGCGCTTGACCAACTCCACTGCTCGCGCAAACATCCCACCCACCCACCCGCAACTTGGTTTGCAAAATCTCTTAAGACCGTGACGGTGGGTACCAAATGGCACTTGGCAACGACAGAAACGCCGACGACGACGACAGCGACAACGACGACCACGACGCAGCCGCCGACAACGACTACGACGACACCGACGACGTCTCCAACGACTTCGACGACGCCGACAACGACGACGACGACGACACCGACGACGACGACGCCGACGACGACGATGACAACGACGACGACGACGCCGACGACGACGGCAACGACGACACCGACGACGACGACGACGACGTCAACGACGCCGACGCCGACGACGACG